CAAACAAAAAATCAAGTATTTTTTGAAAATTCTAATTAATTAATCAAAACATGCAAAACCAATTATTTGACTCACAATGAATCTCAAACATTCGGTGCACGTTACATAACAAATCAAGATATTTTACAGAGCAAAAAATTTACTAAAATGCATGAAATGATTAAATAAAAAAATCATATATTAAAGAATGGTGGATAAAAAATAAATATCGCATTTTATTAGAAAAATCACCCCTAGTTTTAGTTGAGAATTTAACAATCCATGAAAAGAATAAAACAAAAACTAAAATTAGAGAAGAGGGGCTGAAGGAAGAATGACCCTCCATAGTGTTTACAAAAGTTTATATAGAGATTAAGAAAATAAAGAAAACCTAAAACAAAGTTAAAGGCTTGTTCTTAGCAAATCTTCCCATCGCGCCCAGACGCGTATTTTGGTACATCTGGACACACTAATTTATGTTGACATTTTTGCTTGTTACGTTCGAATGCGTGTTTTCAATCGCTCAAATGTGTTTAAGTTTTTTTCACAAACTTCCAACGTGATTTTGATATAGTTAGAAGTTGAATCACTAAATTTTAGGAAATACTTGAAGTCTACTTTTTAATGTTACAAAGATCAGATAAATCAGACATCGGGATAAAAAGTTATGATTAAAATACCAAAATAGTGTCAAAATCTTTTCTTCCCAAATTCTCACGAATGCGTATTTATGCTTCAGAATGCCTCCCAACTTTTTTTCTTCGTCAAATCATCCCCTATTTTAACTGAATGCCTCCTCCATTATTTGCTCAATTTGGATTATTATATTATCATTAGAAATCATCTGAATTACCTACAAAATGAGACAAATAACTAGAATAAATATAAAGTTAAAAAAATCAAGAATGTAACACATATAATCCTAAATAATATGTAATTAACTCATTCTTAAATATAACAAAATAGCACTTTTGGATTGTTCGGACTCACGACTTTACGTTTGTTTTTTTGCTTGTTGCATCCAGATGCACATTTCCCACCATCCGTACGTGGATACGATTTTGTTCAAACTTTTAATGCGATTTTTGACAAAGTTAGAGATTGATTAACAAAATTTTCATAAAATACACTTTTCAAGCCCTTGAAGTTTACTTTATAATACCACATAGATCATGTAAATTAGAAATTGGATAAAAAGTTATGATCAAAATATCAAAATAGTGTCAAAATTTTTCCTTCTGGAATTCTTGCCGATGTGTGTTTATGTTGCAGCTCAAGAAAATTGGTTAGGAGAAGTGATAAAGTTTTTTTTTTTTTTTTGGGGGAAGGGAGAAAGGGAGGGGGATTTGAACTTTTGACCTCAAGAAGGTAAAATTTTCATAAGATAAGGAGTACCATTGAACTAAAATGACCATCGGTAAGAAGTGATAAAACAGTGATGAGATTAAGTGTTACAAATATTTGATAGAAAACCCGACCAAAGATGGATTTGGTGAAAAAGCAGTCGGGGGGTATGGTGTAGGATTTTTCACATTGGAGAAAACATTGTTCAGATGATCGTAAGCTTTAGAAAAATAATTCCTGTCATTCGAAGTACCAGACTGTGGGAGTTGCGGTGTGCGAGGGGGAGAAGTTCTGACCATAGGCGTTGCGTGTGACTACATCAATGTTGGTGAAAGATGTGGTGCTGCCAGTGGAACGGGTGGTTGCAACGGTGTTACTGAAGTTGGTGGTTGTGCCAACGGTGGTGAGAGTGGAGGTGCCGATGGCAATAGCTGTCCAAACACAACTTGAGGAAAACGAGACTGTGGTGATTATGGCCTTAACAGAGGAGGAGGAGGAGGAGGTGGTGGTGGAAAAGGCGATGCCAAACGTTGATGACAGTGGAGGCACATATGGCGGTGGCTGTCCAAGGTCAACCGGAGGGGGAGACCAAGGTGGTTGTGGCCTTAACAGAGGAGGAGGGGTTGGTAGAGAAGGCGGTGCCACCGGTGATGACAATGGATGTGCCGATGGCGGTGGCTCACCGGGGTTGTTGGTATCAAAAGACTCATTTGCAGAACTACAGCTTTTGCCGACCATTGATAATTCTCTCCAAGACAATACAACTCAACAAACTTTCCACTTTTCTTTATTTAAGTGAAATTGCTGAATCCAAACACAAAAATAGATACAGAAATGTAATGGTGCAATCTCGTTACTCCTTTGCGATATGAACTTCTTTTGTCATTCACATTGAGATGATGACAACCTTGGTGAAAGAATCAAATTATATCACATATCTACTCTTGATATTTATTCACAAAAATGTTGATATACAAAATAAATGTTCCTGATTATATTTATTCCCTATAAATAAGTGTATAATTAGAGTGATCTTCACGACTAGCCCAGCCTCTAACCAAGTCAAAAGTACCCTTGATCCTAATTAGGTCCGCACCCACAAACAACTCTCCTGCTGTATCTTGCCCTATCATTCTAGAAAAAGTTTTGCTTCTTTTATCGTAACTTGCACCTTCTTATTAGATGATACCACATTAGCACACTAACAATGCATATCATATAAGAGTAATGTTACAAAACTCAAATGAAATTAAAAAAATTGCAATCCAAATACACATCATCCATCGGATGAGTGGATTTCATAAATTTTTTTAATAAGGCCCATTCACCCTATACTCATCCAAGGGATGATATGCATTTGAGTTTTAAGTTTTGAGTTTCATTTTAGTAATGTAGCATTTTCCATCATATAATTAGAAGATAATACCTGCAACTTAATTATTTTATTTTCTTCATAATTGTGTATCATCAATAAAACATAATCTACAATTAAAATTATGCTTTTAGTTTATTATCAAAAAACTTTGTCATGTCATATCCTTATCCAAAAACCATAATTTTACTTAAGAATAAGTCACTATTAATTTATGTAGGATTTATTATTTGTACAATACAATACAACTCAACAATCCCTTCAATTATCTTTTTAAATGTGAAACTGTTGAACAAAAACACAAAAAATAGATATAGATACATATTGGTGTAATCTCATGACTTCTTTGAGATATGAACACTTTCAAAAGTAGATCATTTTGAATACTTTGAGATATGAACACTTTCATATTTTGCATTCACATTGAGAGGGCGCCATTATTGAGGAACAACTCAAATTCTATTTGATTCCTATTCTTGATATGCACAAGATCATCTTAGTGTGATCTTTATGATGGATTTACAAAGAACCTCTGAGCAAGTCATGGGTACCCCTAAGTCTATAACCCACACTTTCCTACTCCCGCCTTCTATGCCTTGCCTTATCATACTGTAAAAAGTCTTCATTCTTTATTTTTTTTATTGTAACTTGGACCTACTTAGGTCATATCACATTAGGACACTAACAATGCATATTATATCTTGCTTTTTACCATGTGGGTGGGTGTGTGTGTGTGAAAGAGATAAAAAAGAAAATTCTGTGTATCTGATTATATTTTGTAGAGGTCCTAATTTGAGAATTTTTTTAATAAATATTATACAATAATATACTAAATTTGAGAAATTTTACAATAATGTACTAAATTAACATAATTTTGTTAAATAATTTATTGTTTGTTATAACTAACATATATAAATAATGTCATTAGACTAATTTTTACTTGTTAAGTAAAAATTGTAACACGTTGATCCACATGTATCTATGACACCTTGACATGGACTATTATGTAACGTTGCGAATAAGTCCAAGGGTTACATTCCTATGCTTAGTTGTGGGAAATGATTGTACATTCCCACCTTAACTCCATATTATCGGAATGCCACTTAATTATCTTTGACCAGTTTTGGAAAAAAAACTTATACAGAAGAAAACAAATAGATTGCTATTTGGCCATTCATGCAAAAGAACAAATGGGATCATATCACATTTACATTCCTCTAGGTTTGAATACTCCCGGCTCCAATTGAGATTTGGATTAGCATTATTAAATGGACTAACTTCTTTAACTTTTCATTCATGAGTCAAGGATTTTATCCAAATGCAGTCTATCGCTTTCATATGTTGATCGAGACAATTTAGTAGAAAGATAAAATATGCATCTGAAAAGAAATGCGGAAAAAAATTTACACTTTGAGGGGAAAAAAAAAAAAGAAATGGCTTTCCTTGTTGGTGAAGAAACAATTCACCAACAAGAATCTTATCAATCATTTTCATTCCTTTCGCTATAATATTTTTTTTTTGTTGGGGATAGGTCATTCCTTGCTAGACAAGCAAGAGTCCAATATTGGGATTCTCTTTGATCAACTGTATATTTTTTTTAATTTTAATAAAAGATAAATCACTGTCAAACGAATTTGAGAGAAAATTCTGTGTATCTAATTGTATTTTGTGTAGGTTCTAATTTCAAAAAAAAATTTAAATAATATTATTCTTATTTAATAATATATTAAAGTGACATAATTTTATTAAATATTTTGTTGCTTGATGTAACCAACATATATAAATAATGTCACCCGACTAATATTCGCCGCGTTAATTCTGCATGCTGCTATGACACTTTGACATTGACTATTTGTCTAAAACTGCGCGTAAGTTAGATGCCTATGCTTGATTGATCCATAACTGATTCTAGTTCTAGGTTAGTATAATAGTATTTAAATTCAATTATCATTATTTTATTTCTAAACAGAAAGGACTTGAGAAGTATTTCTTAGCAAAATGACTAATTAAAAGATTTACATATATAATTAATTTTGTTTTCGAAAAAATTACAACAAATTGGATGGATAAAACGCGGAGAGTTTTCAAATTGATCATAGACAATTGCGGACCATGGTACACAAGCCAACCCAGAATTTTTTTTCCCTTTAAATTGTCTATATATTTCTTAAGCATATTAATTATGGCCACCAGATTAATTTCTTTCATATTGATTAGTATGGATCCACACCAATATAATCGTGATACCCTCCGATATATAAATTTTATTTACAATACCCTTCAATATCTATTATTCATTCGATCATAGACAACCTACAATGATTATTATAAGCATTAATATGATTATTATTATTATTATTATAAGTTCCAATATGATCATCAAATAAGATTGAATAAAACGAATTGAAGACCATTTGAAAGCTGATATGGAACCTAAAAGAAAAGACAAGGTTGTTTAATGATTTATTAAAGCATAATTTTTGTGAAGGATTTAATCAATTAATTACATGGGTAAATGTGGTATGCCAGGAAACCTCAACAAAAGCACAAACAAAACACTGGAACAACTGTAAATAGAGTTTAAATTAAGGTGGTGTATAAGAGAGTAAACATAAAAGAAACTAAATAAACTTTAGCTTTGTATTTCCATTCTAACATGGGAATTAGTATCATAAAGGAAAATAAATAACCTATAATTTATATCTACACATCCTAATGAGAGTACTACAGTTTTAGATTTACATCCTGATGACACAACTATAGTTTTATAGTTATATCATAATGATAGAACTATAAGGAAATGTATAAGACATTTCTTTTTTCTATCAGATATTAGAGTAAATTCAAAGTCAAAAACTCATATTTAAATGTCGTGAAAATCGCGGCTTGATAACCTCACAGGCAACATAGAACTCTTATAATTTGTTCTTTGTCCCAGACTATATCAATCTTCTGCTCTTGTTCTTGAAAATTTCATTAAAGTCTTCAATTGCTTCTTCCAAATTCTTCCCGCTAGCAACCAAATGCATGGTACTAACACTTGGGATCAATTTCTTCATCTTGTACATCGGTCGAGAATAACAACAAGTGACTAAGGATACCACAGCATACTTTTCAAAGTGGGAAGGGACCTCTTGTTTTAAGACACCATAAATGAGGAAACCAACAGAAACCAGATGGTAAACAAAAATGAGGTTACGAGAACCTCACCACCCTCCTAAATCCTCAGTGTCCCATGAATTATTTGTTTAGATGGAAATGGTATGCAATAGTAATGGAACTCCAATAATAAACATAAACGTGCCAAAGATGAATGTGCACCAAAGATGATCCTTTTTGTTCCAAAATAAACTAGATAGGAGAAGTGATAAAGAGAAAATGAGGTTAAGTATGGAGATGATAGTTGATAGACAATTCAAGATGGACTTGGTGAAAAAAAAAATCAAAGTCTGAAAATGATGAGGTATGGAGTAGGATTTTCTACAATGGAGAAAACATTATTCAGATGATGGTTTTTTTTTTTTTTTTTTTGTCTCATTTTGTTTTTTCCTATGAAAAAAGTGTTAATGTTTTGATATTACCGGGCTAATGAGTAATTTCAACAAGCTCCATTTTTTTGCACAATGGATCGGAATTATTTGAAAAAAAGCTATGTTTTTCCATGAAGCCAAGAGCACAAATGTTCCCAAACCATGTTCCAATTTTATGAGATACAAGCCCCAAACCTTGTTGTTACCCATACTACCCTCTCGCACACCCCCGCTTCTAGGAGATCTATTTTAGCATCTTATCATTTATTATTACTAAATTAACATCAAATTTCAATATTCATTAAGAATAATTACCATTTCAAAGGTTTTTATTGATTGAATTAATTAATTTGAACAACAATGGATTTGATCTAAAATAGGCGTGAGAAAAAGTTAATTTACGAAATATTGTAGAGGAACTAACACCCCCTTTTCTCTCTCATGTTGATTGTATATATACCCAATAAGGGTGTCTACAATTTTGCGAAGCGAAGGCTTAGAAATTAAAACATTGACATACAGACAGTCAGACAGTCAGACACAACAATGAAAAACTTTGTAACGACTACGTGTATAGTGGGGCTGTTTGTTTTCTTGACGCCTCTGTTGCTTTTGCAGATTCCAGGGGAGAATAGATGGTTGGAGTTTTGCACACCGAGGACTAACGGCAAAGCCCAGACTGTACATTCCATCATATTCATCACCTTCCTCGCTGTTATATACCCAAAAGAAAATTTAATACAAATATGAACCCCGATACTACCCCCCCCCCAACACACACACAGGTAAATAAAAAAAAATCCACTAAATAGTTACAACTAAAACAATAAGGTTTATAGTCGAGAAAAATCTATTTAATAAGATTGCTAACACTTCGAATTTTAATTTCACATAATT